TATCTATCTATCTATCTATCTATCTATCTATCTATCTATCTCTTACAGCACTAGATCCTCCCTGTACCGCGCTGAGAGCTCCCCTGCCCTCACTGTGAGCTCCTCTCTGCTCGAGGTGATGGCGCAACGCTGGCCACATTGACCGCCATTTTCTTTCAAAAACAGGGGCCTACTGGTCCCCTATTTTCCCCACTTTGTGGCGGCGGTCTCCCGGAGGCAGCAGGAGGCTTCCCAAGCCGGTTGGGGCCTGGTGCCCCCCCCAGCTGAAATGCGCAGGGGCCGCCCGAGGTGAACTGGGCCGGTCAAACGCCCAGTTTGGCCGGAAGGCCGCCGGTTCGACGAAGGCCCCCAAGATGAACCGGGGACCATCACTGTTATACATATGTATGCTCTTAATTCTTATCATCATTTTGATTCAATATTGCTATTATCAAAAGAAGAGATATCGAGTGTGTGTGTGTGTGTTTATGTGTGTGTGTGTGTTTATGTGTGTGTGTGTGTGTGTGTGTGTGTGTGTGTGTGTGTGTGTGTGTGTGTGTGTTTGTGTGTTTCTCTTAAACCACCAGTGTTTCCGAGCCTTTTTTTCCCAACCCAGATTGCTGTGCCGCATGCCAAAACAAAACAAAACAAAACGACACAGGCATGAAATAATTTCTTTTTGGCCTGGCTCCACCAGCCATTCTGGTCCGGTAGGCCGAGCCCAGTAACCGCAGTGTCTGGACAACAGAGTAGGTGGGAAAGAGACTGGTGGTTTAAAAGGAAAGACAAGAAGACAACAATGCATGTAGCTGAAATTCTGCAAGAAGAGGCTCGGGGTTAGAGAGAGGGTGCCAATGCTCACCCTCCAAGTGAGCAAATTGCGACTGCGAGTAGGTCTTCGAGAGTCGTTGGCAAAAGTGTTGTCAGAACGTATCCCGACACTCCGGCTGCAGCGGTCCCTGACAGAGTCCCCAGCACCTGCATGCAGTACGCATCCAAATCGCACTGCAGTTAATCAACTTCTCGCATTTGCTCGCATTTATGGGACACAATAGGACCAAGCACTAGTAATTTAAGGTAAACAGAAAATAAATGATTCAACTTTCGGATGAGAGAAGGAGAGCTATGGATATGGATAGTATGGAAGAACTTTCTAGTCATTTTGTCTAAGTCCCTCGAAGAGTCATCAATGAGACCAGAGAACGTAGGCTCCCAGGTGAGGTCACACTGGTCGCGGCTTTCTCTACCCCTACTGTCATCACCCAAAGAGAATGCATGGTTATTATTGCCGTATTTAGACCGAAATTTCCACCAAATACAGCTATAATGACTGTGTTCTATCCGGTGAAGATGGTTGATCAGTCATTAATGAGACCGGATAAAGCACGCACAGGGTGTGAGGTCCCATTGGCATGGATTAATGGATACTGTCAGTAGACAATGAAGATTGACAACCAGTACTCCCCCAAGTGTGGCATGTTTACGGACGGGACGTATGGGCCCGGCGTGGTCCCGCTGTGCAAGAAAACAAAGTCATTCAAGACGAACCATCACGGCACACTGTTGCAATTGATTGGACAATACTGGTGGTCCAATCCATGCAAGTGGGACGTCGCCCTGGGAGACGAACACACAACTGCAGGTATCAATATTGAAGGTAGGTCGAGTTTTTGCACTTTAATAACGGCCAGTGGTTTCCAGCCTTTTTTTCCCAATGCGCTTTTTTGCCCACGCCTAAGACCATTCTGGCATGCAATTTGCCTGATGCCGCCAGCCTTTTCATAACGGGCACTGCAAGCCCTTCCACGGCCCTGTGTTGATTGCCGTTTTTTGAACTTGTTTCAAAGGCCAGAACACTGGGAAAAGTACAGGTGGTTTAAACTGCNACTGCAAGCCCTTCCACGGCCCTGTGTTGATTGCCGTTTTTTGAACTTGTTTCAAAGGCCAGAACACTGGGAAAAGTACAGGTGGTTTAAACTGCCAGTACAAGGCCCCAGCCTTGCTGAAAAGAAAACTCGTCGCCTATGAAATTTTTGGAGGCCCAGCGCCGTAGCGGGCGGCCTCCGAAAAGGGCCCAAGGCCGATGGCTGGATGTACAAGTGGTTTAATAACCCAAAGTGTGAAGCCTGGCTAAACCAACAGTGGGGGTCCAAGCCTTATTTTTCCGACCAATCCCATGTGCTTTTTTGTCGGGGCCTTAAAAATCCGAACCGTCGGGAACTGCCAGCCTTGTCCCCATGGACACTCGTGAGCCTTTCAGCGGCTGCATGTTAACTCGCGCTTTTTGTTTTTCTGAAAGTCCAGGCCCGCCAACTGGTGGTTCGTTAAGTCAAGCTCGCCATGAAAAAGATTGCAGATTGCAGCGCTCTGGTCTACCTGAGGTGAGGTCCTCCCCTTTGCCGAGATTATTCGTAATCTCCCTCACTATGGACCATAGACTAGCTTTTGTCTAAAAAAAAAAAGGAAGTTATTTCAAAAATGCAAAAGGAGGTCGGGAATCCATCCACATCTCAACCCGGAGTTCTGAGGCCATTACTCAGCTTTGGCTTGGCTGAAAACTGGGCCCAGCGTCCGTTTGTTGCATAATTCCACAAAAAGAAAAACAGGAGAAAGAAAAGGACTAATACCTAGGCTGTTTTCCCGGGCACCCAAGTTGTGCCCGGATACATGCCCAGGTGCCCGGCCGGGCATGACCCACGGGCAGGGTCCCGGGCAGCCCCAGCGCGAAAAAAAATAAATCCAAACAATCCTGAAAAAAAACAACAACATATGTTGTGTGGAGTTGCAATACAAACAACTTTTGCCTGAGGGTCACATCAGAATTCCTCACAGAACTGAGGATAAAAAAGAAAATAACCAAATCACACTAAGACACCCTCTCTCTTTAACCCCCATATAGCCCCTTTCAAAGCAATTTAATTTATTCCCCCCTTCCCCCCCCTTGTCAGCCAACGCTCGAACAAAGAAACGAGCCCGGATATGGGCTCCTCTCGGAGAGTGCAGAAACCCCCCACCGCCAAAAAAATAATTAAAAAAAAATCCATGCCTGGCTATCCCCGGTGTCAGCCCCCCCCGGGCGTCAACCCCCCCCCGGTGACTGGCCTGTCCAGACCGGCCTGTAAAAAGAAGTATTGAAAATAAAAAACAAAAAGAACTCACCAAGGGCTGGCGGCCTAGCTCAGTTCGTAGAGCACGAAAGTGGCATTCACGAGGTCCTGGGTTCAATTCCCCCGAGTCTTCATTCGAGCCCCCACAGTCTCCTGCAGCTCGCTATGGGTTCACCAGCTGAGTTAGTCGGCTTGCGGCCCCCTGCTAGGGTGTGGTAGGGTTTCCACTCCCTCCCATCCCTTGCCCGGGGTTAGGAAGAAGCTGCGGTCCTTAGACACGGGAGGAGGTCGGTGCCAACCCATAACTCTTAGGGCCACCCAGCTTGTGTGCATAGATAGGTTGTAGCCTTAGACCCTAGATCCCCTTGGTGTGTGGATGGGCTCTTGTTTCTCCGAGGTAGGTGAAGGCAAGGTAAAAATACGGCTGATCCCTTGCTCGTCTGGGGTAGGTAGCGCGAGGTACAATGCTGAGAGAAGATGATAGCATACTTAAGAAAATGCGGCTGGCTGTCCCCCCCCATATGAGGAGACGACAAGTTAATTTAAAAAAACGAAAAAAAAACTCACCACTTCCTTGAGTTCACTCTCAAGCACAATTGTGGCAGCCCTGATATCAAAGCCGTCGATGGTCTCCACTGCAGTCTGCCCCAAGGGTGCTGCTGCCTCCGCAACATCTTTATCGCCGGACAAAATTTTCTGAGCTTCAATTTCCACATTATTGGGAAGTATCCCGTCTTCAGATTCTGTTGCAGGCAACACGTCCTCCCACCGTGCGCGTGTGAACTCCACATAGCTGTCCACTTGCCGTTTGTTATTGGCCAGCATCAAAGACTGCTGTTCCTTGAGCAATGCCTGACCTCCATTCATTCACAGAAATGCCCACTGACACGTCAGCAACAGGATTCCAATCTGCATTCATATGAGTGACAGACAGACACTTCTTTTCTTTTCCACAAAAAGAAAATTATGAAACAGTTTTCTCTGCGCTTGGTGTGGGCGCGAGTCGCCAGCTTGATCGTCATCTGTTCGTATGCATGCTGAATGTCGAAGTCGACAAGTCTGATTGCAATTATTGCTATAGGGCCCAATGTCCAAGGCAATGCAGACACTTCTAAAATCCAATAAAGTATATCATATATATATATATATATCGTCACAAATAGAACTGCCCGGTAAACCGTAGGCAGAGAGAGAGAAGAGGACAACAAACAAGGGGCTGTGACAAACTGTTTCGTCGGGGTTTCATATATATATATATATATTTGACGATATATATATATATATCGTCACAAACAGAACTGCCCGGTAAACCGTAGGTATATTATGGGCCTCGCTGCACTACTCTAGACTCTCAAAGTTTCGAGAATGGGTCGTCGCTGCACTTACTCTCCATCGGGAAACTCTCGAAACCCGATCGAGAGCTGTCAGAAGGCACGCTATAATGCCAAGAGTCGCCCGCCTGCAAAAAACGAATTTGCAAGTGTGCTTGCTAGTTGCCCGCTGACTGGCTCGTTTTTCGAGAGTGGACCTCCTGTCCCGGCAGCCAGACCAGCCTGGCGTTGTCCCGTAGCGTAGTGGTACAGCTCTTCTGTCGAGTCCGACGACGCCCAGGGTTTCAAGAGTGCATCTAGTGTAACAGGTTCTAGAGTAAGTGCAGCGACGGCGGGTATTTCGAGAGTCGAGAGTAATGCAGCAAGGCCCTATATATAGATGTCATAATATATCATATATGTCCATATATATATATATCCATATAAGCATAGGCAAAGAGGGAGAAGAGGACAACAAACGGAGGCTCTAACAGACTGTCTCGTCAGAGTTTCACTGACTCTTCATACAAGTGGACCCGCCGCAGCTACGCCGCAGCCGAAGGGGGGCGGGGAGGGGGGGGGGGAAGGAGACGGAGGAGATCGTCGCAGAATGTCTCTCTCTCTCTCTCTCTCTCTCTCTCTCTCTCTCTCTC